TGGCCCAGTAGATGGGACTTGGGCTCTACCCCGTACTGGGAAGTCCTGCAAGGAAGGGGTTGGCAGCAGTCCCCTGCTCTCCTGCGTGAGGTTCCTCGCTGGTCAGGCTGCACCCCATATCTGTGCCAGACTCACCTTCCCTTCCCCACACAGGGTGATTTGAGAATGCTGCTGGGACATGTCAGGGGCAGCTCCCAGGGCCCCCCTTACATTTCTGGGGAGTCCCACTGGCAGCCAGTGGATGGGTGAGGTGAGACACCTCATCTCTCAGAAGGAAAAAGCCTGTCCTCGTGCCCTGCTGGCTCCCCTCCAAGGTCTGGCAAGGTCTCCAGGAGCATTTCCTGTAGCACTGAGTGATGCTGACTCTCCCCTGAGCCCCTGTCATCACCACCAGCCCTTACCTGGGAGAAGGAAACAATAAAATCATAAATGTTGAGGAGCAAAGTAACAGGCGTTTCGGCATTTGCTGCCCTTCACCAAGTTTATTTGGATGATGAGAGCTGTGAGACACCTGCCTTTCTGTGGGGACACCAAATGTCAGCTCCTTGCTGCTGGAGGCAAATAACACGATGAGTCATCTGCGGGGCAGATAATGAACGTGCAGAACGAAAGGCAAAGGCAAGGGCTCAGTTGTGGGCAGGACCCAGCCCAGCCACGTGTGCAGGGTCAGTGACGTGCAGCCTGCTGGAGTCAGCCTGACACCCACAGCGTCCAGGCCTTCTGCTGGTGGGACAGTCTGGTCTCCAGGAAGACACTCAGAACTACAGTGCCTTTATTCCAGAAGAAAAGGAAGATGAGATGATGAGATGAGATTGAGATGAGATGAGATGAGATGAGATGAGATGAGATGAGATGAGATGAGATGGACCCTCTGGGGAGGCATGGACCACACTTCTGAGTTTGGGTGCTCAATTTGCCTTCTGTCTCCAAGACCATCAGATAAGCCTGAAGGATACACCCTCAGGAGAGCCAGCTTGGGTGCTGCAGAGCCCTCACGCTGGCAGACCTGGCAGGGACCTGCCTGGCTGTTGGCAACCATGGTCAGACCCAGCATTCTACGAAGCACAGTGTCACCAAGTTCCTGCAGCCGTGCAGTAACAGTCTGGGACTCAGGGAGTTCTTCCATGGCTAGGTTGGCTCTCCACGGCTCCACGTGCCATCTGGTGGGATGGAGACCAGGCCTGTAACAGCCATAGAGGTGTACGCAGGCAGATGGGCACGGCTGGGGTTCCTGTGGTGCGTAGCTGATCCCAGCAGGTCTCCACATGAGCAGACCTCCTCTGGAAACCTCTGGTGCCTCTCCGCATGGTGGGGGCAGTCCCGTGGGAGGCCAGACCTTCGTTCTTCAGTGCTGTAGGGGTTTAAGGTGCTCAGCATCACTGAGTGAGTCTCGGGCTGCCAGTCCCGCTGGCAGAAGTGCAGGGCACTGCAGAGCGGACAGCCCTGACATGCTCCTGCCACGCTCCCAAACGCAGCCAGGCGCCTACACCCACAAGAACAGGAGCAGGGCAGCAAGCCCCAGGGCAAGGGTGAGGACGATGAAGGCAATGGCCGCAGCCCACAAGGAAGGAATGTGCCCCTTCACCCGCGCTGGAGCCTCCGCCGGGATCATGTTGGTGAGGTTCAGCATGTACCCCAGCGTCCAGCCGACACTGGCGCTCCCCGCCTGCCCGAGGAGAGAGGGGACAACGCATTAGCCCTGCAGGAATGCCACACTGAAGATGCGTGCCACACCAGGACGTGGGGCAGGCAGGGCTTTCTGGAGCGTGGCTCGCACAGCACCCCAACGCAGGGAGCTGGCTCTTTTCCCCGCTGCCGCCTCCACTCCTACCCACAGGCTGGGTTTGCTGCCTACCTTCATCTGGAAGATGATGTTGTTCCAGCTGGTCTCGTTGAACTTGTAGGCATCAAGGAGGAGTGTGAGGATGTAGTTGGCGTTGGCACAGTATTTAGGCAGTCGGTCAGGGTTCTCTTCAGGGTAGCTAGAAGACAGCTGGGGTGGGGACATGTTTGGGGAGGAAGGGAAGTTATTTGCAGGCAATTTCCATGCAAGGACAATGCTCTGACGACTGCTGCACAAGGGGTAATGGCTCTGCAGTCACCAGCAGCCAGAAAAAGACTTCTGGATCCGGCAGGTATTTTGAATGTGTCCACACAATGCAACTCCTTTGAGGAGGATTTACACTCCACATGGAAACAGAGAAACATATTGGAGCTCCTCCTGCCCCAGATTCTCCCATCTCAGCCTCTTCATGCAAGGAGCTCCTTCTCTCTGCCCCATGGTGGACCTGGCACATCTCTTGGCCTTATCCATCCCCGTTTGACTCGTCTCCAGAATGGTGCCAGCAGCTGGCTCTCCTCTCACCCTCCAGTGCTACAGACCTACCTCCATCCCCAGCTCCTCTGCAGGAGGGGAGATTTTGCTGCCTTCACCTGCCCTGGCTGCCCTTTTCCCAATGTTGCATGAGCAAGGAGGGCCCCCAAGGGTGGGTGCAGAACGTTCCTGGCTCCCACTCCTATCCCCCTGCCCCAGGACCCTTTTGCTTGTGAAGTTTCCCCACAGCCTCCCGTCGTGGAGAACATACGTCTTCCCAGCTTCTCGTGCAGAAATGCTCAATGGTCTCCCTGACAGTGGCCAGCGACTGCCCCTTGGTGAGGTTGAGAAACTTGAAGTTATAGTAAAAGGCAGAGAAGGCCTGAAAGACAAGAGGCAGAAATGCTGTTGAGTTACAGAGGGGACACCCCCCCAGGTGTCTGCCCCCACCTCCCTTGGAGCAGGAGGTAGGGTTTGTCCTTCGCTGGATTTGTCCCACCCTCATATAGTCCCAGGGCATTGCCCCAGCAGAGATGACGGGCTGGGCTGCAGGTTCCTGCTGGCTGCAGCAGCTCTTCAAGCACAAGCAGAGCCTTGCCTGAAGGCCACTGGCTAAGCTGGTATTTTTTTACTGAAAACTTGGTTTTTGACTAAGCACCCGTTTTATTAACGTGATCCCATTTGGAGAGCTGGCAGAAAAACCAGTCAGCAGCAATCCCTCGTGTGCCCTGGGGCAGTGGTAATTTGAGAGCTTCTTGCCCCCATTCTGCTATGGGGAGGTGACAGTGCCATGAGGCATGGGGGACACCACAGCACTGGGGGACACACTCTGCCCCTCTGCCCGGGAGGCGGGAGGATGGGATTTGTCTTACAATGAACCGCCCGCTGATGGGGGGCTGGTAGACGCCATCGAAGGTGCAGTCCTGGCGCTGGCCACACGCCGAGAAGTTGAATAGCTTCTTGATGGCATCCAGGCACTTGCTGGCATTGCCCCGGCCCTCCAAGGTCACATTCCTGTCACCCAGAGTCAGCCGCATGTCGCTGGGGTTAGTGCAGGGGCTGGTGCGGAAGGAAGACAGCGAGACGGTTTCAGTGTAGTCTTTTGGGTAGCAGGGGTGATCAACTCGCGTGCTGGAGGACGACTCCTGGGAACAGCAAAATTGCAGGCTGCAGCCTCCTCCAAGCCCTCTTGGTGGGATTTCTGGGCAGCAGGGTTCACCCAATGCTGTCCCCAAAGCCATGGGTGCAGGCATCTCCCACCTCCTCAGCAGGGAAAGACCCTTCTGCTGTTTAATCCTAGTCTTGTTGACCATCTGCAGTCCCAGCCTAGGCTCAACATCAATTCTCGTTCTGCTTTATCTCATTCCCTCTCCCATGTAGGCAGACCTATTTCAGGGACCCACCATGTCTCTCACCTGGCCAGCAGGATCATGATTTGGGGCATGCAAAGCCCTCTCCACCCCAGCTCTAACTGTTTCTAGCCCCAGCCCCAGCCAGGGACACCACCTGGGTCCTTCGTGGCTGTGCAGCGTGAGCAAACCCTTCTGGCTCTCCAAGGCTGCTTCTCCTGGCAAGGGACAGCTCCATGGAGACCCTCTTCCCCTCTGACCTTCCAAAAAATGGCCTGAGGTAGATCTCTGGTTCACTTTTCTCAGATCCATGCAGTCACAGAGTAGTTGAGGTTTTGGGGGGAGCTATAGGGTCCCTGTGCCAAACGTCTCCTTAAAGCATGACCAACTAGATCGGGTTGGTCAGAGCCTTGTCATGTCAAGTTCTGAATATCTCCAAGGATGGCGACTCCACAGCATTTCTGGGTTCTATTCTGATATTTGACCATCCTTATTGGGAAAAATTTTTCCCCTGCATCTGGTTGGAAACTCACATGTTCCAGCTTGAGCCTGTTGCCTCTTGTGCTGTCACTTTGAACCTCTGAGAACAGCTTTGTCCTGCCTTTTCTACACCCTGTGTGAAGCACCTGTGCACAGCCTGCCCCTTCTGATGCTTCCCATGCTCCTCTCCACCTCTGCCTACCCATGCTCCACAGACTCTGTACCTGCTCTCAGTCCCTGCTGATGCCTCTCTGGAAGAGCAGTGCCTGTTCTTATTTTATGCATTAACAAGTCTGTGGCTGGTATCACGAGAGCAGAGTCCAATTACCCCCCAGTTCCCCTCTCACCGTAATTAATTCTTTGGCCAGTCTCTTCAGCATCTCGTTCTGCCCGTAGCAGAGGTAGCTGTGTGTATAGATGTTGTAGTTATAGCCATACAGTGTGAGCTTGAAAGCTTCCTTCCAATTTATCACTGAACTTCCAGGCATAAAGCTGATTTGAGTGGATGCTCCTCCAAGATCCAGTGCCCCAAAAATGTCGGCCGCCTCTGGACGAACCCAGGTGTGTGATTTGGGGGAGTACTGCCAAGGGGAGACAGGAGAGGGAGAGGGGTATACACAACTGGGCTTACTTGCCCTGAGCAAAATTCTCATCCCATTGAAGTCAATAGGGTTTTGTTATTAAATTCCCCAGGTATTCAATTCAACTATTTCTGTTCATGAAGCCCCACTGCCCTCCCCGCCCAACCAGCCTGGCCATTTATCAGAGCCAGAAAAAACAGAGATTGAGCTGTCTGATGGTCAAGATGTGCCACCATGCTGGGGCTCATGTGGCTCTGAGTCACCGCTCCCCTGAAGAAAGTGCTGGTGGGGACCTGGCTTGGAGGGGCTGCCCCTCCCAAAGAGCAAGGGGAAGGACAGAAGCCCTCCGGCAGCCTCCACAGGAGCCCAACAGTGCCAGCACCGCTCTGAGCTGTGGCACTGCTGGGACAGAGGGTGGCAGGAAAGAGGTTTGGTTCAAGCTTCCTTCAGACTGGCATGGAGAACCAAATGTGGGGCATCACAGTGCCACATGGAGATGAGACGGACCTTCCCAGGGCAGCGAGACAAAGCCCGGCAGGAGCACACCATCCCTGTGGGGCTACAGGGCCAACCTGGTTGGCCCCAAGAGACCCTGTGTCCACACGGTGTGGAGATGTGCCCTTAGCTTTTAACAAGGACGCCCACATTCCTGATTTCTTCCCCTGCTTTCACTGTGGGCAAGCCAGAGGATAACCGGCTGGTTCCCCACGATCACTCTCAAAAGCCCAGATCTTTCCTTCTGTGCTTAGCTGACTTCAGAAAAATCAGAAAAACTCTATTAGCGAAGCAATGGGTGTTTCACTGTTCTCCCACCTTAGTGAAGGAATCCAGCAGGTAGTTGATGGTGATCCAGCCATAAGCCCCCTCCTCCTCTCCTGTAAGGATCCGAGCCCCTTTGAAAGCCACGGGGTACTCTTGCAGGGTTTTAGCAACTTCGGCCAGGACTCGGTCTGCTGCTGAGCTGTTCTGTTCCCTAAGAAGGACTCAAAGGTCAGGACACAGACCGAGCTACATCAATACTACAGAGGAAACCAAAGGAAACAGTTTTTTTTTTTTTCCCCAGTTCCACATACTCCTGTTTTTGCAACAAGCAGTTTGTGAGAAATGATGTCTCCTGCTACATAACTTTGTCAAAGCTGGTCCTGAATCCCAGTTTGGCATCACAAATCTAGGAGCAATAGCAATCTCTCCCCTCCAGCACAGGTCAATCCTAGTCACATAAAGGTTTGCCAGGCCCCCTTTTCCCTACCAAAGTATTTTCATGGTGCTGGAGGCCAGAGGTGATTGTGCTGCAAACTCCAGGTTTGAATGCCACCCCCTGACTGCACCAAAGCCAGGGCTGGCTGCAGAGCTCAGGTGGGTCTTGTGGGAAGCTGCCAGCCTGGTTCCAGACCTCAGAGTAGCAGAAGATTTCTCAGGGCTTGCTGGCATGGGCTTGTTCTCTGAAGCGAGTAACCTTCAGGCTGTGACCAGGGAAAGGGTCAAATTGCCAGGGCACAGAAATGATGTTAGATATCCGCAACTATAAAACCAAGAACCATGAAATGAGGGTTGACACTTCAAGAGAGCTAATATGGGCTGAGGAAAGGTAAGGGCAGGTCCTGCAGCACCCTGTTGCCTCCCACCTCTGCTCCGCTCCCCCATCGGCACCCATCCATTTGGGCAGATGACACATCCCCTGGTGGCATCTCAACTCCCTTGTGTTTAAGGAATAATGAAGAGCAAACAAAGAGCTCTGAGAAGCATGTCTTGCTTAGAACTGGGCATGGAGCACCATCCTGGGACGTGGGGCCCCGGGATGCCAACAGACACGTCCGAGAAGCCTCTCTGCCCGGGGGCCAATCACTCAGGACAGCTCAGCCACCTGTATGTGCCCACCAGGCTGCCTTCCCCCCACTCCCCAGTCGCTTGCTCAGGGCAGCATGAGAGAGCTGGGAGCTCCTGGCAGCCTGGCCCCATGCAAGGACACTGTGTCCTGGCAGTGGCTGCTTGCAGCTTGGTTGCTGCTCTGTCACCCCCGCACCCCGCAGTGGTACCTCACCTCAGAAGCCTCATGCCTGCCGTTGCTCCTAGATAAACTGGGACATCCCTCTGTTTTGCAGCAGGAACAACCTTCAGGGCTTTATCCAGGCACTCCCTTAGAGAATCACCAGCTTTCGGGGGGTCATTGGTGTAGCTCGATATGCCTTGCCCTGGAAGAGAGTTGGGCTGGGACAGGCTGACAGGAAGGTCTGCAGACAGGGATGTGGGAGCAAGATGCCACACAGGGCCACACACCTCTCAGCAACAAAGGGTGCTTTTCCAGGGTCCCCTGGTCCCCCAAGACCTGATTGACCCATGCTTACGTTCCTCTCCTATGGCTTCCCATGTCTCCCATGCTTTCAGTAGTGTTCCCAGCTCTATGGGTGAGACCTTTCCCAGTCAGGACAGTAGAGTGGACAGCTGGGGCCGGTCCAAGGTGGAGGAATGAAAATCTGGAGCAACACCAAGGTGCTTCAGTCCCACCAAACCTGTGGGCACTCCATGGTGCTGGGTGCCCTCCAACCATGAATGAAGCCAGTGGGGAGTCAGGGACCACCCTGCCTGCAACCAAGTTTCCCCACCAGTGATAGCCCAATGGACAGAGCTCCCCAGCATGGACAAGCCAATAAGAGGAAGGGCCAGGGCATCCCACCCACCACACGAAAACACAGGGCAACACAGGCAAACACAAAGCCCACAGCAGCGGGATACTGACCCTGGACATCGCAGGACAAGGTCTGGCTGACCATGCCAGTGTCGTTCTCCTTGTCTGAGTCCCACTCATAGACAAACAGAGAGGTGTGGGACGAGCCTGCATCAAACACCATCCCATACTGGAAGGGAAAACCAAGACATCACATTGGTGGGAGGAGCAGCAGCCTGCCCCTGGCCCCACCATGATCCTGCCAGGGTCGTGGTGCCAGAAAATGCCCCAAAAAAACATCTCTCTAAGACACAGCTCTCTGCACCAGCAGAGCAGTGACAGTGTGTTGTCTCAGCAGGGGTATTTCTTACAGCAACTGAGGGACTTCTTCTTTCCTTCTCCAGAGGTGACTGCAGCAATGGCAGCTCACACAAACATTTTCTTAGTTGTTTCCTTATACTTTTTTATTTTCTTTCTTGGTTACATACCTTTTGTGTCTACACTGGCCCCACCCTGGGTCCAGCAACTCTCCTGTCTCCAGTGCTCTCTGCTGTCCCCATGGCCGCACCAACCTGGGCAGAGACTGGCAGGGCCATGCCAGCCCCAGTCCAGGAGCACCCAGCCACGTGTCTCTCCACCGTAAATCCCTCCACCTCACCCTAAAACTGTGCCAACCCTCTTCCAGCAGCCGGGGTGGGATGCCAAGGTGCAGGGGAGTGACAGGGAGGAGCCATGATGCTTGTGAGTGGGTTAGGATAGGCTGATGGGGGCTGGCAGGAACAAAGGCCATGTGAAGGTGTATCACCCTGGGGTGGGGTGCCCTGGGAGGGCAAAGGGAGTGAGGCAGGGCTTTGCCCTACCCATCTGCCCCAGGTAATCTCAAAACATGTCAAATGCTAGTGCCTAGTTTCAGAGGAGGCTTCCCTTCCTGACTTCATGGTGGCCAGGCTGCATCTCCTCTTGAGATGGGAAGAAAACACCCACCCAGCTACTACAGGGCAGGTCCTACTGAACCGCCCTTCACCTCCGAACCCTGAAGATGAGCCATTGTCTCTGAGCACCATCTCTGCAGTGGTACTCAGAGACCTTCTTTTGGGCTCACCTTGACCGTGGCTGGCAGGGTGACATCTTCAATCCTCACCAGGCAGAGAACCAGGGCAATGATGGAGAATGCGATCAGCGCCCCAACTATGGCAGTGATGAAGTGCTTCTTGTTAGCAAACATCATGGTGAAGGCTCCTGCAAACTCAAACCCAGGAGAAAGGTGGTTGGACATGGCCAGCTGGGAACACTGTTAATCAGTAAGAGCTGTAAGAAGATCAGCTCCAAAAGGTGTCCCCAGGCTGACACTATCTCACGCTGTGTAACTCAGAAATCCTGGTGGGTAATCAGATCTTCCCCCTGAGAAAAGCAATACTAGGATAAAACAAGGGGGGTGCTGGAGGCAAGAGGGGATGGTTGCCCAGCAGCCTGGCACAGCCATGATGGAATTGCAACAGTCCTCCACGTCCAGCTCACCGCTACGGGGAAGGATCAGGTCCAGGAAGAGCAAAAGGAACACTGCACCAGAGAGAGGAGGGCCAAAAACCTCAACGGGGGATATTGTAGAAGGGGACAGTGATTTCATCTGGCAAGATGTAAGTAAGGTCAGCTCACCTGCTGGCACTCCCAGACCTGTGCAATCAATTGGGATCGCTTGGAGCTTTCTTGTGAGTCCTTGCTGTGGGTCTGGGCTCCTCCACTGCCCTCAGGAAATCCAGCTTGGACTTGCTCTTTATATACTTTAGAAGTGGATACTGCTTGAAAATCTTTTTCTCATTATTTTATCTCCGACCTCATCAGCCTTAGGCGAAACTCTCAAATCTCAGCTCTCTTCTTTTTCTTACAGGTGTATTTATGACTCAATTCCGCATCTTCCTGACACTTTATCTTCAGGCAATTAGTTCCTCCTCCTCATTTGAATGAAGTCGGACATAGGAGCCCTGCAGCAATTAGCACACACCTCTCCCTTTAACCCTTGTCTTCCTGCTTCATGGTGCTTTTACACACACACACATTTCTGGTCTCTCTTGATTCTCACTGGTCTTAATATTTCCGTTACAAGTATCTACAAGGTCCGTAAGAGGTGAGAGTGGTATTTCCAGTGCCCAAAATCACACACAAAGTGGTAGGTGCCTTGATAATAAGTTTGATTACAGTGAGAAGGACAATCACATCAGAGGAGGAGAAGGATGGCCCTGCTGGGGTGGGGGGTGGATTGCAGCAACACTTGCTGAGCTTTGCAGGGGAGACAGGAGAAGCTGGAAGGGCCAAGACATCTTCATGACCCAGCAGAGACTTTGGTCACCTCTTCCCTGTGTGTGACCCAGCTTCAAGCTGCTCCTGGGCTGGGGAAACCTGCAGACATGGAACCCCAAGGAGAGCCAGGGCGGTGAAGAGGACTCCGGACTCCAGCAGCCTCCCCTCACTCCGGGCAGCTGTGGAGGCTCAGCGGTGCCACAGGGTATCCCACCCCAGCCACAGAGCCCAGCACCCCTGCCCTGGAACTGCTCTCTCTGGGCAATACAGTGGAGCTGCTTCTTGCTGATTCAGCTCCCTGATAAGAGGCTGCCAGGGCTTTCATGAGGGCAATCTCCATGGGTGATCTCAGTTCCAGCTGCCTTATCTCAGCTGAGTCAAACATAGTGATGCCAGAACGAAAATGCCTGCTGGGGAGCCCTCCTTAAATTAACCTTCCCAGAGCACCTTTCCCTGCTGCTGGAGGGACAGCGGGTTTGGAGGGATGGTAGTTTCAGAGCTCCCACTACGTACACTGAAAGTACCACCCTGTGGAATCGGGGTGCAGCAGCCCCTGGGGGCTCTGTCTCAGGTCACATCTACCTGCAGCTCGCACCGAGCTGGGTGCCTGTGCTGTACCCTGCTGCTGGCCAGGCCTCACACCTCCAGGCTGGTCCCTCTCCCCAGAGGACATGGCAATGTCCTTTGCAGTGTCTCTTGTGCTGGTGGGGTGGATGCCCAGAGGGTCCCACCACTCTTGCATTCCCTTCTCCACACAATGTACAACCTTTGAATTCCCATGGCTTTGCTGGAAGGAGGTGAATCAGTGTTTGCTGCCTTCCCAGGTCTGGAAACCCCCTGCTGAGGGCACAGGGGCTGTGCCAGGGCTGTCCTGAGCAAGGGGGACTCATCCACACACAGGACAGAGAGGCACCGATCAACCCCAGTCCCTCCTGGACACGCAGCCCTGTGCAGTGGCTGTGTGCACCCACAACCAAAAAAACCCTCTAGCTCCTGCCTCCAAACCTGGGCTGAGCAAGTCTTCAGTTTATTTTTCCTCATCCTTCCATAGAAACTTCCAGAGGTTAAGTAATAATATCTTAATTGCTTCTTAAGGCAGAAGGACGGATAATAATTTCCCAGCTGGGAGGGAGCTGTGATTTCCCTTGGCTTGCAGTGACTCCATCCACTCATCCCAGGCAGCAGGACAGTCTGAGCTGTTTCTCTCTCTGTTACCAGGAAATTGGGTGTCTTTGCCAAGCTCAGCCCTTTGGCAAAACTCCTGCCACCAGCCTGGAGCAAGCCCTGCTGGAAACTGCCCTGGTCCATGTGAGCACAAGGGTAGTGAAGAACAGACCTTGTCAGGACACAGCAGCCAGTGGCCATGGTGCATGTCAGGATCTCCTGGGCTGCCAAAAGAAGGGATGGATGGAAGTGCCCCAGGTCTGTATCCAGCCTGGAGCTTGTCCCAGTAGGGAACTGGGGTGCAGCTGGGATCACATGTCAAATGCAAGCTTTGCACTGCTTCCATGTCCACCACTGCAACTTCTGAGAGCAATGGACCTGTCATGAACATGGTGAGGGGGACAACACACTCAGGCAGGTGGGGACGTGTACCATCACAGGGACACATTGCCCCATGGTCCCACCCACGGTCTGTGGCCCTGTCTCAGGGATCCTGTCCCTCAAGGAGCTCTGTTCACTCCAAGGGGGCCTTGGAGCAGCCCTGGTGCTCTGGAGCTGCAGGAGTCCTCAGACACATGTGTCCCATGGACCTTGTCCTAGCAAGGATGGCAGGACCAGACTAAGCCCTGGTCCTGAGATGGGCACAGCCCCAGAGGGCTGGAGGCCAAGCTGCCCTGTGGACACCACTGTAGCATAGGCAACTGCACCCAGCAGTGCTTTCCTTGCCATGAGAGCAGTGTTTGTGGTGAAACTGGCTCCATTGCCTGCACAGCAGCTGTACATCTCATAGCCATGAGTGTGGCCAGGAGGCATCCCCCATCCACTGGAGCCCTTCATCCACCTTGGGGTCCCGAGCATCTACCTTCCACTTTGGAGGAAATGTGGATGAGCAAAAGCAGTTTCACCAGCTCTTTTCTTGAGCAAACAGCTCGTCTGGGTGCCAAAGGCCTGGCAGGACTCGGGGCAGAGCTGTGGGATGGGGCTGTGCCCAGGCAGAGGGCATGTGGCACTGCTGGGTCTGGGCTGATGGCTTGAAGAAACTCTAGTTTGAAGGGAGCTCCTCCATCTGCTCCCCCTCCCTGAAACCCAGTGGGAGCTCCAGGGCTCTGAGCTGCCCCAGCCAAGGGAGACCAGGAGCCCCCATTCTCCCAGCACCCTCTTTCCTGGGACTGGTCTTCCGTCCTACAGACCCCACGGACCAAGGCAGATTCAGGGGTGGGGAGCCATGACAAAGGCTTTGCTGGGAGAGGTAATAGTATCTATATATAATTCAACTATAAAATCCAATAAAAGTTGCTACTTCTTCAATTTATGCTAGGTATTCCTGAGGCAAGTCACAGGTAATGGCTTAATAATTTTGTTGACAACATCCTCCCTACAAAAGCTTTAGGGCAACAGAAGGATAGTGCTGGGAGGAGGCCTGGCAGGCTGGGGGGAGGCAGAGCCCGTGAGCCCCAACAGGACAAGGCAAAATGCTCACTGGAGAACATCTTCCCAAACCTGCATTGCCCTCCCAGCACACAGCACCGTACACAGCCCCAACTGCACCCACGCCTGCTCCCCTCGTGGGCTCCCACAGAGGCCTCTTGATCAGTTAATTAGATAATTACCTTAGCTTTTACCTTCTCCTGCTGAGCTGGCTGAGCACCAACCCTTACTCCTTCCACCTTGGTGCTCCAGCGGTGAGAAGTCTGATCCCCCTCATGCCCACACCTGCCCCATGTGCAGAGCCCTGCGGGTGACAGCACCCTGGATCCATGCCACATACAGTCTGGCCCTCAAAATTCTTCAGAAAACCCCACCCAAAGGGGTGTCCCTCTGTTAAAATGTGGGCCGTGTCTCGGGCCAGTGTGGTTCCAAGTGTGGAGCATTGCAGGACCTGGAAGGGCCATGGTGTGGCCCAAAGGACTACCCACTCTCACGTGGCTCCCCTCGGGTCCTCGGTGCGGCCGAGCCCCAGCCCTGTTTGTCTTCAGGGATGTGCTCTGTGAGAGCTAAATGTGCTATTTGCTCAGAACTGAAAAAGAGACCTAAATGTCTCATTCTTCTGATTGCAGGTGGACAAATCTGCTATGGAGAAGTATGGTTAGAGTACACACACACCCCTATTTGATTTGCTTTTGACATGTGTTTCTTTGTCTGTGGCCATTGAAATGACTCTTTGAGACCCAGAGGGGAGTTGCCAGGCTGGTATGGAGACTCTGTGGGGTCCGAGCCCAGCCATTACTGCCAGTCTCTGAGATGATTGATGTTTGTGAAGTGAGATCACCTCTGTTGCTAACACCTTCCCTGTGGTTTCTGAAAGGAAAACACCCTGACTCAGGTTCGAAAGAGAGTGTCCCATTTCCATGCTGTTTAATTTCTGCACCAGGAGGTCACCCCAGCTCTGGCTGTGGGAGGTACAGGCTGTGGCCCTGTGCAAGTCCCATATCTCTTGGGTGAGCTGCACAGCATGCTCCTGCCTCCCATTCCCCTTCCAGACGCACTTCGGGTTGTGCTGGTACTTGTCCCAGCAGGGACCAGCTCTAGCCCTCCCTTCCAGTCCAATTCCAGCAAGACTGGTGGAATTGGGGCCATTTAAATCCGCCTTTGGGATGCCCATGCCTGCTGTCCCCAGCTGGTAAAAAGCACACCTGACCTTTCCGCTTCCCTGCTGTTTCCCAGTGTGTACCATCAAACATGCCCCATTTTCCCTGACTGTGACTGTTTTGGTGTCACCCCTCGGCTGTGGGTGCTCCGGGTCAGAGACACGTGCCCGGAGCCAGCCCCTGTGCCAGCCACAGACACTGCAGTCCCTTCCCTGGGCACAGCTACAACCCAGTGGCTGTTGGCCCTTGGGCAGCTCTATCTCCCACAGGGCTCAGATGGGGCTTAGCGCAACACCTGCACCATGAGCTCCACCAGATTAGTGACATCAATAAGAATATCAGTATTTGGATATTGGCAGTGGAGCTGGCTGAGTCCCCCAGGGCAGGGAGCCGGGGGAGTGGGCACCAGCTCCCTGCTGGGAGGTCAATATGCTGCCCGGTGCTGCGGTGATGGGCTCCGTGTGTGCTAGGATGGAGGGACATGGCTGAGGGATGCTCCAGGAGGTTGAGGCTGTCGCTCGCTCAGCAGCAGTGTTGCCCTGGGGGTGAGAGCACCGAAGTGGCAGTCGAGGTTGGGGTGTCTCGGATCTGGCTCTCAAGAGCCCCAGGCATGGGCTGTTCTCTGTCCTGGGCATCCTGAAGGTTTTTTCTTCCTGAGATCAGGGAGCACAGGGAAAGGAGGATGAAGCACCCTTAGGGCAGGATTCTCCCTTTCACTGGTGTCATGAGTGCTTGGGGAC